TTCTTCTTTACATTGTTCTTTTTATCTACAGTGTCCTGAGACAACGTATGTTGTGACTTTGCGCTATATAAATAAACTCGAAACTTGAAACTTATGTATCTTTTTATATGTTGGATGGAAAGATCTGTTTTCAACTGTAAGTTGTAAAAATTGCATTTTTCTGTAAATGTAGTTATGATAGCCTTTTCAGACCTGTAACGATTTTATTTTCACAAAACATATATGTCAATTTGTATAGATTGTAAATTACACAGATTTTCCACCATTTTGTAGGTATATGGACGTTTAGGGCAATCTCACAGACTTTTTCAAAAACTTGGCTTCAAATTTATTTTACATCTCAGAGCCTGTAGGATGTAAAGAACAACAAAAAAAACCCTAAATGAAATTAAATAACCATCTCCCAACCTGCTCTGCCACTAGAAATAAGTTCTCCACCTCTATCTCTACCCCACGTTCTGCCCTTCTCTGCGGCAGACAGTCTGTCTGCACCACCCCACCTCCACATAGACTCCTACATGTGAGCAGTATGTGGAAGACATTTCCAATCGTTAAAGCTAATGCACGTTGGACAGGGACTTACTGTGTCCCCGATCTTTAAGTCAGTGCATTTCCTGAGGCCTGACGTTGGCTTCCCGTCCTGGCAGGTGGAAGTGAAGGAAAGGTTGATGTCATCAGGGTGGTCCCACACTGTCAGCTCCACTTTGGAGCGMATGTTCTGAGGGCCAAAAACACAACAACATAAAACATCTCATTTATTCTCTTACATGATACAATTAATCTGCAGGATAAATTCTAGAAGCTGCCATTTTTTTCATTAACTTCTCAATTGAACTCAAGTTAAATTCCCATTATAGCCACAACCCACATACAGGGTCTGACAAGGTTTTTTTTTTTACAACAAATGTTACCTGCCTGAAATGAAAAGTTACCTGCCTGAAACAAAAATGTTCAAATTTTGATAAAATAAGAAAAACGTGTACCGTATTTGTACTACAAAAATATTAACATGATTATACAGAGGTTCATAATAAACAGTATGACATCTGATTAAACACATGCAAACATTTTAGACTGAGTTACTAACAGTCAATTGTATTATCAAAAATATCGTCTAAAACCTTTTTTTAGACCTTTCCAGTGTTTACCCTAGAGTACTGGCCTTGGGGGCGGGCCTTATGAAAACAGAATGATCAGCAGCAGCAGCTTTGTTTTAAATACAACTTACAAAACATGAAAAAGTCTACAATTTGCATTAAAATAATCGTACATAGCCTTTCTCATTGGTAAAGATATATTTAAGTTATCTTGAACTGGAGTCTCCCTAAAACTTCATGATAAATCTAATGTTATTTATACTAGTCAGAATATAATTAGAGATACAGTATCTTAAATATGTATTTGCCTTGTTAAAATATATTGAGTTTAGGTTAATTTTAGGGTAAACGGTCAGGGTTAGGATATGAGATGTCTATTTATGTGTTTATTTCTTTCATTCATAAAAACAAAACCATCTATGTACAGCATAAAAAACAAAGTAAATCCTACCCTGAATTACCTGTATTTGTTTGTAAACTGAATGAGCTGAGGTGGTCAGAGTATGTCTTAGTCATAACATGGGGCATCTTCTGAAATGTTTCTCAGTTTTCATAAGCACTTCACCTCACGTGACTCAAACGTTCATTGTTTTATACCGTCGTCATATTTTGATACCACAGTATAACAAAATACCTTCGTATCGCCCAGGCCTACCAACAGCTACAATCCAAAATTTCAAAAAGTGTACATTAGAGATCTCAAACTTGACAAAGCGCAGAGATACAGTGGTGTGAAAAAGTGTTTGCCCCCTTCCTCATTTGCTGTTTTTTTGCATGTTTGTCACACTTAAGTGT